CCCGCCCAAACACACACATAGGAAGAAAGAGAGGGAGAGAGGAAGGGATGGAGGGAGAGAGAGAGAGAGAGAGAGAGAGAGAGAGAGAGAGAGAGCATTCTCACTGCCGATAACTAACTCTTACATTATATATTTAAAAGAAGGGGCCATTTCAAACAATTTTGTACTGGCAAAATGACACCTATGTAGGTCCTGACAACCATTAATGGTTGTCCTGAGAATCTAGTATCTTTCGATAGATACCAGCCAATGAAAGACAGGAGAAGCCAAAATCAGGGTCTCCTCTGGCCTCTAATGGCTGAGATTCAGTAACTGAAGACAGCTTCTCTGGATGTGACCCCCAGAAAGTGCCACTGGCTTTTCAATCCATCCCTCTTTCTCCTCTTTTTGTCTCCACTTTAGTATTCCTGACATTGTATTTTCCAGTAAATTGTCAGCACCTAAGTTTGTCTAACTTCCTAATGCTACAAAACTTGGATTAAACAAGCAATTTTCAAGGTATCTTCAACTGCTAAATATGTTGACTATCTTTAGAAATGCAAACAAAATGAATCAGAATTTTTTTACTGAGGACATTTGCCTGTTTACATTGAGCTGTGTTGGACCCTAGGGGTAGTAAAAGTTGCACAGACCAGTCCTTGAAACTGAGGGGAGAGTGAAGAAGACTTGGAACTGCAAGCAATCCAGCAGCAGTCCAAGGAATAGTAGTTCTCATTGTGCAGTCTCAACAGGAGATAATCAGAAACACATGGCTCTCATGAGTCTAAACACAGTCCCCAAATAGCTGTGTTTCCAATAGAGGAGCATGGTCTAAGGAGGTCTTTCTCATTGTGTCTGTTGATAATTTAATGTTTTTGGTGTTAAGTTTCAGCTTCTATGAAAATAAATAGATCTACAGAAGAACCTACCTCAGTGAAGACAACATAACTATTTTATATTAAAGTTAGAACAGGTTTCAGATGTAGCAGATTATTAAATAATATTCAGACATCCAGTGCAGAGGGAAAAATTCAGAAGAAATGACAATATTACATGTGCTTAGCAAGGCACGTTGGAATGGACAAATGGAAAAAGGAATTAAATTTGGCCAGAAAGAGGGAGCGTGATTCCTCGTGGAAAGTTGGCAGAGTGAATCCTGTGATCTCACTGGCACTGGGAACAGTTTTAATGCTGAATCAAGTCCCAACGGGGAAGGTGTGGAAGTCAAAGTTACTGTCTTCAAATATTTCTGACTATAGGATTCTCTGTTACCAGACGGATAGAGTATGAACGAACTCTTCTAAGAGGAATTGCAGCCCAAAAGGCCAGGAAACTCTCGCTGCTTATTCATCAACTGATATTAGAGAAATATTCTGTTATCTGCTACTCTCAGTGTTTACCCCAAACACATTTTTGTTTTCACACAAAGTTATTCTTTCTTTGTTTGTTTTAACATTCTCATTTGGACACTTAATTAAGTTTTTCTTTTTTCACTTTTGGTTTACTTATCAAACTTACAGACCAAAATTTTATACTCAAGTTTATATACACAGAAATCCAGACAAATTTATATACACAGCTAATTAAACATTGATGCATGCAGTTTATTAAGCATTTCCACTGGTCTTGGTGTGTTTTTCAGTTCTGAATATCTGATCAAAATCAATTATTTTCCCACAGAGATCTGTATAAACACATACACACAAGAGTTTGCATGAAATATCTGGTGTTTAAAGATCTTTTAAATAACCAAACACACTTTATTCTTAAAATGTAGATTACGAAGCCCAGTGGTTTTAAGCATTTTTTAAGGTATTTGTAGTAAAGGAGAGTAAAACTGAGGGATTCCGCTAAGTTGAATATTTTGATCTATCAGTAAAAGAAATCACAAATTTTAAAATGTACAGATTAAAAAAAGTGTATAAGATATCCTATCTAAAAGCCACTTGTAGGTCTTACGGAACACCCACCTAGACAGTGTCTCACTGGTTATTTCATTGGGGACTTTTAATGGTTATTTGATCTATATAGCAATCATAATAGATTGATTTGTCTCTCCATAGTAGATATATGAAAGAATATTTAATTATTACAGACAATTATCACTCGATTCCTTTTGGAAGATACGTGGTGCATAGGATTTATTTGTTTCTGATTTTGAATAAAGCCTGCATGACAACACCTTCCTACCTTCCTTGCTGGCAGCGGGCTGCATACAATAAAACCAGAGGTACAGAGCAAATGTTTGGAAATACCGTTTTTTGCAGTGACTGAACTATAATTTTGATTTTAGAATCTTGCCTGTGTTTTCAACATTTAAGACTGTGAATCACTCGGACGCCAAAGCCATCATGTGTTTGGTGTTTGGAATTCTTTTGGTTGAAGAAAATTCTAGAGTGAATGTTTGGTTCTTTTTTTTTTTTTTTTTCACCAGCAGCCAATAAGTTTCAGATGTTTTCCAAGGAGCAGGAGTTCTCAAGCTGAAATGGAATTTTCTGTGACGGTCTACAAATAACAATTAACATATGCTTAAGTTACAAACAAGGCAGGACTCAGGAAATGCCTAGTAAGGAAGTAAAGGAGGATAAAAGTTAATTAATACAACATTTCCATCTAAATTTCCTAGAAAACAGTTAAGTGTTTAAAGAAAGATGTATGCCATCTATTTCTAAAGGACATCACTATTACAAGCCACCAAAAGGTAGCTTTACAATGAAGGAAAAGTAGCTTTGAATTTCAGTTATGTCTGTCATAAATTCAAAGCATTCAAGAAAAATAATAAAAAGAAAAAAAAAGTTAGAGTCATATAAATTAACCAAAAGTATATTCATTGATGATTTCATAACATCTTGAGATTGACTCACAAGGTGAGCTAAAGCTTCCTTTCAAGATGGCCCTGGCCTTGTCATCTGACATCATTCTCTGTTCATGAGTCAACACGATCTTCATTTTTTTGCTAACAAGTGAACACACTCCCGTGACAGTCTTCAAATGCTCATCATCCTAATCTACTGGGACTTGGTGTGGGTTCTTCAAGTTGTGGCTTCAGAGATGATTAGGCCAGTGTAGAGTTCGGTTTTATTTAGACCATATATTGTGGTAGGAACTAAGCAGACTGATTTCTGTGGGATGCAGTGGGGCATCCTGCTAACTATGTGGACCACTTAAGCATCCTTCAGTGACAGCCAACTTGTGTTAAGTTAACAGCAACCCAACCCACTTGCTACCTACCTGGGTTATGAGCCTGAAATGAAATGACTGAGAGTTTATAAAACATCACAGTGTCCTCTACGAGGTGTCGGTACTGACAATAGACACCATGTTGTCACTCATGATAAAATTCTGCTCCAAGTACTACTACGCAGGCTCAGAAATTCCCCGTAATTCTACGTAAATAAAAGGCATCTCCTGCAGATCCCAATGGTATCTTTTTGTATAATATTTCAAGTGCCATCCATTTGGTGGGTTTTCCATCATAACTTCCCAAATAATTGGGTTTTCATCTCTTTTATTTTTCTTGTTTATACTTGACAGTGACCAGCTTGCATGTGACTGGCAGGTATGAACAGAGTGCAATATTAAAACAGACATTTTATGTTTTCTTGATGTGTGTTGTTCTCTAAACTTTACAAGTAAAAATAGTGAACCTACCCCCACCTAGTATAAATACAAAATGATCTCTTTTTCTCTAACTCTTTGTTTTCCTTTTTTCTTCCTTTTTTCTTTGCCTGCTTGTTTCCTTCCTTCCTTCCTTCCTTCCTTCCTTCCTTCCTTCCTTCCTTCCCTCCTTCCTTCTAATCTTTTTTTTTTTTAATGAAACAGTGTCTAATGTAGCTCAGGCTGTACTCGGGCTTACAATGTAGTTAGCCTAGGCTGGTCTTGAACCCCTGGACCCCTGTCTCTGCTTTTCTAGTGCAGGAGTATAGGTAGTCCACCACACCAAGCATAAATACACACTTTTTAAAAAATGCCTTACTACTTAACACAAGCAGGTCCAGAACTCTTCATGTAAAGCAGGCTGGACCTGAGGTGGACATACTTTTCCTGCCTCCACCTCCTGAGTGCTTAGAGTCTAGGTATGGACCCAATACTGGACTAGTGTTCTCCTAATTCTATGAACAATTAAACAGTGTGCCAATTATTCTTAAGCAACCTATGATACTATACTCTTTTAAATTCTTCAGAAATGAATACATTAGTTTAGAAACACAGTCACCAATTCAGAACCAATTAGGCAGGTCTTGAGATGGATTTCTGGAGGAATCCTTGAATTTGGGAATCTTGGCATTCATCTTGGATTTAAGAAAGAGACACAGGATTTTTTTTTTCAGATTTTAAAACTGATTTTTGTTTCTAGTGTACAAATCCTCAGCTCTCTTAGATTTCTAACATTTTTTCTCTTTTTTAATTGGATATTTTACTTATTTACATTTCAGATGCCATCCCCTTTCCCCATTTCCTCTCCCTAGAACACTCCTATCCCATCCCCCCTCCTCCTTTTTGCTTTTATACCATTTTAATTACATGCAAGTATTAAGGTCAGTTCTAGGTTGAGGAACTAGTAATACAGTAGATGCAAATAGTCAAGGAACAAGCAAGACAATAAACACAAATATTCAAAGAACAAGCAAGGCAATAAACAAAATTCTGTGAACACTCCCATCATCACTGTTTCTAAGGGCTTATCAGGATGATCAAAATATCTGAACCAACTTCCCTGTCCTAGCCCAAAGTCATTTTCATGTCTGAAGCCTATTTCCTTGCTCTAGACTAAAATTTAGATTCCTGCCTGAAATTACTTCTTTGTTCTAGCCTAAGATTTAGATTCCTACATGAAATTACTTCTTTGAGGGAAGTAGGTTTAGGAAGTTTTGCAGCTTATGTAATACATTTCCTAGTCACCAGGTCACTTTGGACTACTTACTTACACTCTGGCTCCCTTTCGGACCTCATGGAAGTTAATTTTAGTTTAGCAGAAAGGAGAGGCCAACCGCAGACGCCCAGGCTAAACTCAGACTTACCTTCCTGATTTCCTGGGCATTCGCAGAGAGAAGGAAGCACTGTTTTTCCTGGGGGTATCCTTTCTCACATCTGCTAGCCTGAATTTGAGAGAGTGTGTGGGGGACAGTCCCAGAGACCTCCGCTGCAATCTTCTTAGTCCCTCGGAGTGTCAGGGTCTGGTAAAAGAGACAGACCGCCACCACCAAACCCACCAAGAAAGGTCGGGGGCAAAATCGCCGGCGACAAAGGAACCCAGGTCGACAGACCATGACCAGTTCAGATTCACTTGGCCCCTGGCCACGTTGTCAGTATGAAAAAAACACACATCTGTCTTCTTTTTACACAACTCCAATCAAGTTCGCCCCATCTCCACTTGAGAACTTTCCGAAGGTTCATGCCAAAGATTCACAGGACCCAGTGGTCAAAGGTGGTTAACAATAATAGCCCTTACGTGAAGGACAGTAAGAAATGACTGACCTGCCTTTTTTTTTTAAGATGTCAAAATAAAGATAGTTGTAAGAAATCATCCGAATGCATCCTCAGCTGCCAAGAGTTCCTTCCGGTAATGTCTTACTTCCACAACATTCTTAAAGTCAGGAGTTCAGCGTGTCTCTTCTTTTGGGGCAAAGAGAAAGCACAGTAAAGCCGGTCTGAAGGCGGAAAACAGCCCCGAAGACGCAGTCGATTTAACGCGAAGTGCCTGTTGCACAGCTGGGCGCCGGCCAGGTTGTCCTAGCAGTTTCTCATTTTCCCTCCGGTTTTAAAGCCATCCCACTCTCAGCCTTTTATGTTGCAAAACTGTTTCCCTTCGTTCAGTTTTAAATTGCCACTTTCCTGCTAGCATTCACGGCTTTTAACATAAAAGGGGGGATAGCAGTTTGGATGTATGTGGTTACTGTCAGGGCTTTGCTTGCATTTGGTCTCATTCCGTTTCAAGTTCAAAGTTCTGTGTACTTACTCAGTTTTCATCCTTTTTGCCAGATTTTTTTTTCATGATCCCCTAATGGATTGCTGATCAGAATCACTTGGAAGGAAACACCCAGGCGTAGGACTCCACTTCATCTCACTCTCACGCACGGACACACACGCGCAGACACGAGGAGACACGCGCGTGCCAGCTGCACGCAGGGCCGAGCGCTGGAGGACCCAGGCCATCGCTGCCACCCAGGCCGAGCGGGGCGGAGCTAAGTTAGAGCTTTTCTGGCCAAGGGGGCTGTCTGAGCCGTGCTATCAGCTCTGCACCAGCAAAGAGTAGGCTACCTCTGTGCATGGGAACGGTAGTTAGGCACCCATATCCTAACTTGGAACGTGGCTACCTATCCAGACCCGCAGAATAAAACAGAATAACAAATGGCTTCTAGTCAATAGATGCTAAGGTCGAGGAGGAGAGGAAGGCCGAGTTAACTAGGAGGTTTATCACTCCAGGGAATTGCGGTCACGTTTAAGAGGACAAGAGAGTCATCGGGACAGTCTGGACCACAGAGCAGGAAACATTCCGTGTAACTAAATGTCCCCTCTCCATTCCAACACCGATCGAGTCTCCCGCCCGTTATTACTGCTCTGAGGTACTCCCAGACAAATAGCCTGATGCCTAGCTCCTCAAATGAGCTGACTGTAGCAGGGATTGAAGTTCTGACTTTTGCCCAGGAGAAAGGGGTACCCAGCAGGCTTTTTAATTCCATGCCAACTCTTTTACAGGCTTTGTTACCAGGGCAGATAGGCAAATTTCATCACTGTTGGCTCAGCAGGATGAAGGAGCATCGAAGAGAACCTTCAGGCTTTGGCAGCTCTGGGAAGGACTAGTTCAGGCTCACAGGAGACCTTCTTCAAAGACCTAGATGGTTTCTATACTTTAGGTCTAACCAAACTTCTTCTAGGCAGATGTTCTTCCGTGAGGCCACACCCCTAGAGTAAGCCCATTCCAAATGACTCAGCCATTATTCCCTAATATTTTGTGAGAAAGAGGGCCCCCTAGAGGTTCATAGCTACAAAAGATTCAGAAAAATGGACATCCCTTGCTAGTAAGAAATTTGAGTCAGTTTGGAGAGAGTGGGGGGTGGAGAGAGGGGAGGGGAGAGGAGGAGAGAGGAGGGACGTTCGAACAGACAGAGACTTGAGAGAGACTTGAGAGGGAGACAAAAAAAGAGGAAGAAAGAGGAGAAAGAGGAGGCAGAAGAGAAGAGAAAAGGAAAACTTGCACCTTAAAAGTAAACTAATTAGGTTATTACAGAATAAGTATTAACTTATATCAACTTTATTTATGTATAATCTATGAAATGTTTTACTACCATTTGACATATAAATTCAAAGTCTTCAACACCATGACAAATCAGGGAAGGGAATGGGAGAAAATTAACCTGGTTTTCACATGTGCACATTGAGAGAGCATTACTGTTGCACGCCGAAGGTTTTTGGTGGATGTAATAGAATTTGAAGGCCAGTAGTGATTACTAGACCTCTAAATTGGAATGGCTTCTATGCTAATGAGGCCCAGAGTATGGTAAAGCTGTTTACTGGGTGTTACAAGCAGTATAGACAGCTGTTAATTGTTAATGCTAGAATTCTGGAAAAAATAAAGGTTTGAGGAAGGCAGAATTCTTCTCTGGTTGGAGGAGGCATTATTAAGTTGCTGAGTCAGATTACAGAAGAGTAAATTGGATGTTAACTACAATTGCCTTTAGGTTGGGAGAAAGGAACACAAAAGGACAGACCATTTTTAGACAGTGTTATAGCCTTCCTTTGGCTAAGAGGAATCTAGAAAGGATTCTGATAAGTTGAAGAACTCAATTCCCTATCTTGAGCACAGAGTCCAAAGAGCAGAAGACAGTAGTAATAATATTAGCAGCAGTAATAATATTAGAAAAAGAAGGGGTTAGTTAGAAGATGGATGTGACAAAGAAAGTCCAGCACCAGGACGACTGAGACTCCAGGGACCACATCAGATATTAGAGGCAATCTACCATGGACATGGGTCTTCACACTCACCACCTCTTACAAGCTGTTCTGAAATAAATGCTTTGGAATATCAAGTCCAAGTCCATCATTTGTGAGATCAGAGTCCCCACTCTGAGTACCGTTGGCCCAGGTGAGATGGTCCATAGATGACACCTAAGCACTCTGAACAGCTGGTTGATGAGTGCTAATGCACATCTGTTAGGTGTTCGATCCCCAGGCTGAGTTCTACCAAAGCTTAGGATGTGTTGAGGATCTGTGAGATCATTTAAATGGTGAGCCACGGGGAACATAAAAGAAGCAGATACAAACGGTGTCACCAATTGTTCTCTTTCCAGTATTCTTCGTGATGAAGGGGAACAGTAGGTTTGAGAGGATAAACTCGTGGGCTTTAGTCATGCCTGAGATTGAAATATTTGTGTTCTTGATGTTACAATTTTAATGGCTAGATAAAGATAGAGTATATATTTATTGGACATATTAATGCAGCAGCATTCAATGTTTCTATACATGCATATAGCATGTTATTTATAAGTCAACGTAAACATAAGTAAGTGACTCAGTGCTTATCATTTCTTTGGGGGTAAAAACATTAAGAATTTCTGCCTTATAGCTTTTGTAAAGGTATACATATTACCTGTAGTCACTTTACTGTGCAATAGCACATTTGAAATCTCTACTTCTAACTACACTAATTACAACTCAGTCCTGTGATTAACCTTTCAGTTCAGTCTCTCCCCATCCCTCATCAGTCTCTGGTGACCAACATTCTACTCTGCCTCTGGGTTCCTCACAAGTGGGATCATACATGCGGTCTTTACCTTTTACACTTGTCCTTTCTCACTTAACATAACAATCTCCAATTCTACCCATGTTGTCGGAAATAACAGGATCTCATTCTCTTTTTGTAATGAAATGATGTAAGCAAAGCTCATTGTCTTCACTCACCACCTGAAGAACACTATAGTTGTTTCCATCCTTGGCTGTTGTTAACGAATACAGTAAACAAGCATGTGGGTGCCCTTTGAACACTTTCTCTTGTATCCTTGATTCTATGCACAACAACAGCATTGAGTGACTATTCAGTAGTCTCACCAACACTCAACCTTTTTACTGCTTTCACCATTTTGGCCTTGTACCATGACCATTCTAAACGGGGTGAGGTGACATCTTGCTGTGGTTCTGATCTGTATTTCCCTGCCATTAGAGAAGTTGACCACTCTCCCAGATACTAACAAGTGATTCGTACTCTTCTTTTGACAAATTTTAGTGCAACCAATATTTTAGTGCAACTGAATTGTTTTGTTCTTTGCCGTTGAGTTCTCTGGTTTCCTTCTATATTAGCTATGTTTGAATGGAAGGCTAAGCAGAGTTAGATTGGGGTCCATACAGGAAACAATAGAGACAGGCCTATATTGGCTCAGTGATGGGAGTGGGAGGGCACATTTGCAGTACAATTGTGAACCTGGGGTTTTGGCATTGTTTCAAACCAGATGCTTTTGTGACATAGTTCATAAGGTAACCTTTACACACACACACACACACACACACACACACACACACAAGTCTTTAAAAGTAGGCATTTAGCTGCATTGAGAGGCTAGAGTGGCAAGCATGTACTCTAATACCAATGTCGTACAAAATAGAACAATCTTCCGCCTCATAACAAAAACCTTCAGGCTTTTTTTTCCAACACATAAAACATGATCTTTTATGGCATAGATAGCGACTTTGGATTTCAGTTTGACTCAAATAATCAATGAAGAATTATTGTTTGTTTTATGGTATTGGGGATCAAACCCAGAGCCTTGGACATGCTAGGTAAGCACTATACCACGCAGATACTTGCGATCCTTGATTTTTTTGTTTGTTGTTTGTTTGTTTTGGGGGACAAACTCTCATTACGTGGCCCATGGAGACCAGGAGCTAGCTATGTACTTCCTATTTCAGCTTTCCAATTGCTTAGATGATGAAAAATGCATTTTTGAGGTACTGATTTTTCTCCCCTTCCCTTCTCCCTCTTGATCCAGCCCCCCTCGCTCTGGCCCAAAGGTTTGTTTGTTTGTTTGTTTATTATATGTAAGTACACTGTAGCTGTTTTCAGACACTCTAACCTCTGAGCCATCTCACCAGCCCCCGGTTACTGATTTTTAAAACTGCAGGTAAAAATATGTGTAAAAAAAGATTTGGTGCTGGACCAAAGACTTTGGGAAGGCATATATATATATATATATATATATATATACATATATATATATATATACACCTTTCTCTCTGAATTCCAACTTTGTCATAAAACAGGGGCATTTTGATCAGTAGATGGCCTCAAAGGTCACTTGGTGATCCAAAAGTCCAAAAGTTTTGTTTCTGTAACATATTTCAATATGGACATCCTGTCTGTTGCAGTCTTTTGAGCCCTGCTGGCTTACTTCAGGGTATAGCTTTTCTCTGCAAGAAAGTCCTTGATCATGATAGTGTAAAATCTGGTTGCAGCTACTCATGGTGGTGTGTCAAGTCAAATCTTAGAGATGCTGTCAGCTGTAAGGGGTCCCTTGGAAGTCAGATTGCCTTCTCAGCTCTTATCATTTCTCCTGCTATGCTCTTTCGGGAATTTTCGCAATAAACTCTAAATATAAGTTGGTAGTTTTAAATCATGAGTCATATATTAAATATGTTCAAAGGTATCCTAGACACTATGGAAAACAGAAGACATGTGACAGGTACTATAAATGACTAGCGAATGACGCACTGATAAATTGGTCCAAGCAGGATGACTTATCAGCTTCAAAATCTCAGTGGCCTAAAGTACTAAAGCTCACATCTCAACTTCCTACCACTTCTCAGTTTCCACAAGGCATTTGAAGACTTCACGGACTCTTAGACATCTACCACGATTCTCTAAATCTTATTAGCACAAGAGGAACAAGAAAGAATCGGTTCTTCTCTCTTAGGAGGAGAGCTTCAGATTAGCATGTCATTGTATTGGTTATAGCCTGGTGACATGGGAAATGTATCTTATCAATAAACCTAGGAGGAAAAGGAAATGAGCTGACACACACAGCTGAAGTGAAGATAAGCTACGTGTCCTTGAGAAGCAAAATAGGGAATTCATATCTTTCAGGAAGCACTAGGAAAGCTTTGAAACTCTGGGCATTTCTCAATTGGCCCTGATGAGTCTCAATAATTTCAGCTGCCACCGAGGGCAAAACAGGGACTTTGTA